AGTAGAGATGTTGAACACGTGTAGACACACTGGTTTCCATGTTTTATGGGAACATTCCATAGGCATAATTTTTATACTTTACAAACTGTATTTTCTTTCCCCTAACCCTACCACAAACCTACTGGCACTTTAAAATTTTCAACAAAAAAAAAATTCTGTATGATTTATAGGCTGTTTTTCTCATGAGTACCAAACCATTTCCACAAGGTCAAAAATTACTGGTATTACTATTCTTGTGAGGACATTTGTTCCCCATAATGTGGCATACCAGGCACACACACAAACACACACACACTGGTTTCCATGTTTTATGAGGACATTCAATAGACTTAATGGTTATTATACTGTGCAAATTATTGGTATTACCGTACTATCCTTGTGGAGATATTTGGTCACCACAATGTATAGGGAAAATAAAACTCTTTAGGTTCTTCAAAGCAGCCTCCCTTTCAAAACTTTGTTATTCTCTTCATGAATCTTCCAGCTTCATGAGGTGCATCCTGGGATACTTTAAAAAAAACTATTGAAAAAGTCCTTCTAATGTTCGACATTGGCTTTACTATCCAATAACCTGTTTCAGAACAACCAACAATAGAAAATATACTATGCAACATGAGTTTTTTTTTAGTTTTTTAAGTTCTTTGTGTGTCGTATTTAAAAATAATTTGAATGTCATATCCATTACAGTAAAATCGTATTATTACTCACGATAACTCATGATCACTTATCTGCAGGAATTTGGACTGGTATTGAATTTCAGAAGTGAATCATTAGATCCATAAATGTAAAATATAAATCCACAGAACGGGCATCTCCACACCATTTAAAGGAAGATCAGATTAGTGGCTATTTTTAAATTGGTATCAACTTTATTTCGATAGTCCACTTTAGACATACTATTAACTATAAGTAGTTTTACAACTACGTCAACTAACTATCATTAGACTGTTAGTTTGGGTTAGGGTTATGTCTTCAGCAGTTCTCTTGGAGTTGGAAAGATAATTTGGTTCCACTTTATGATCCCATTCATATTAGGTGTCTAAAAAAACGATGTACTTGAATGAATAATGAATTGTTGTACAGTGTACCTATTGTGTTCATGCTGAATTGCAAAACTCTTTTGCTGCTATTTAGGTGGAATACAGGTAAGGTTAGAGGCAGGTTTGGTGGTTTTGTTAGGTTTAAGGGGTAGAGTTGGGGTCAACAGTGTAATTATAAATGTAACTACAGAAATTATTTACAGGGCAATATTTCCAAATATAAGTACAATGTAAAAACATGTATGAACACAATAATAAGTGCATTGTATTAAATTATTAATTTAAACCACATAGTAGTTAAGGACAATTCAATTCAAATGAGTCCCACTTTATTACACATTCTACTAACTATAAGTAAGTTTGCAACTACATGTCTGATTAATTTGGAACTACATGTAAACTAATTAAAACAGCATTAGTAGACTGTTTGGTTAGGGTTAGTAGAATAAGTTGACGTACTTGCAAAGTTAGTTAGTCAGAATGTCTGTTGGAAGACCATTAAAGCAAAGTGTTAGACAGTCTACTAATACTCTAATGTTCAATTCAATGTATTACTTGCTGCTTCATTGTAATTAATTGTTGGATATATATTTAAGGATTTACATCAATTACTCATACTTTCCATTTGAATTCAGCATAAGTTATTATTTGACTTCGCTGTGCTTTATGTCACTGGTATCTGTCGCAGGTGTTTTTGTCCTAAAAATCTAAGAAACCTAAGAAACCTCTTTGTCATGTACAGCTATGGGTTTACAATCTGAACCCCAATCTCAGTTAACCACAAATAACAGTTGTATATAGAGTAAGAGTGACTTACCCATGCAGAAAGCACACACAGCAATACTAAAGTCAAAACTCGTTCCATGATCAACCCGGTATGTGGTCAGTGTAAACAGCACTTTTATCACACTGGCATTTTTTATTTAACCACTGCATTCAAAAAAACATATTTAATTGAAATAACTAATCAAGCCTGGTTGGCATTACTGCACGCAAACATGCCACCTTTAGTATTATTTAGTCTCTTCAAACTCTCGGTTTCTGACGCTTCTCTCTGTCTCTGTTCCCTCTGTCGTGACTGATAAGGACCTGTTTTATTGCCACTTCTCCTTTTTCTCATGATGGGAAAACAATGCACATCAACTTTTGTCCTGCCTTTAAACCAAAGTTCTTCCTTATTTTGAAACTCCTCCCTTTTATCCTTTCCAAACTGGTTATACCTCACTTCTTCTCCCTTTTTAATTGCCCCTCACATTCCCCTATGCTTTATTTAGGTTGGTCTTCCTCTTTCACCTAATTAACTTTAACATTTTAAAAATGTGCTTTCAAGTAACTCCGAAGAAATAAAATATAGAACTGAATTGTGGTCATTAGTTTTGTTTTTCGTTTTCCCTTGAATGGTGTTCTGCCTGTGGGTTGGCAAGTTAACAAAGGAATCTAGAATCCTTTCAAAAGATCAAATGGTGACAAATACCCCATTATTCTTGTCTTTATTGCAGTAACAATAGACAAAAGTTATGGCTTAAGTTCCATAGTTGGGTGTGTCTTGAATGTAATATCTGATACTGTGCACATCGGGATAGAGAGTGCATATAGAGAGCATTTCTATCTCACCTAGCTGAGAAATGTTTTGTAACCATTTTTGTTAACCAGACTGATGACATGCATTAACAAACAACGTCTCTTTATTATAAACATTTTGTAGGTCCAATGATATGTGGAGGAAATTAACTGTGGAGGGTTTAGTTTACTTTTAATTTTCAGCCAACACAGGAGGAGCACAGTCAGCACTAATGTCATTGTTTTCCCACCATGTCATTCTCTTTGTTATGTTTTAGAATTGCTTTTAGTTCTTTTAATTCTTTTTTTATTGCCAATTGCCAAGTGTACTGTATATGTGAAAGTGTGAAAACTAAATCACATAGCTGAAAATAGTTTTATTGTTATCTTTATATTGTAAACCAACAAACAAAATGTCTTGATAGGCAGTGAATAAGAACAATGAAAAAATTGTTACTTGTTTGTTTACATAGTATTTCTAGATAGGATGTACATGTATGTCTACAATTTATCAAAGTGGTTTAATTGCAGAGACAAGCATTTTTGCCTTTTGTATAATTGCAAGCGTGACGTATATTTGTCAAAAGCAGTTCATCAGGTTTTTCCTCTCAAAACAAAACTGTCATACCCCTCTTCCGCTGTATTGCTGTCATTATGATCAACACAACACTTGTTTTGTCAACTGACACTTTCCACGAATGTACAAATTGGTGTGCTGTTTAATTTGAAAGAAATAAAGGTGCACACAAATCTCTTGTTCTTTGGAGAAATATTAGATTAAAAAAAAAAGTATTATCTAAAACAAAAATGCCATTTACGGATTTAAAATATAAAACAGAAGGACTCCAAGATGGTGAGAAATAAGATTCTCTGGTCTGATGAGACCAAGATAGAACTTTTTGGCCTTAATTCTAAGCGGTATGTGTGGAGAAAACCAGGCACTGCTCATCACCTGTCCAATACAGTCCCAACAGTGAAGCATGGTGGTGGCAGCATCATGCTGTGGAGGTGTTTTTCAGCTGCAGGGACAGGACGACTGGAAAGATGAATGCGGCCAAGTACAGAGATATCCTGGACGAAAACCTTCTCCAGAGTGCTCAGGACCTAAGACTGGGCCGAAGGTTTACCTTCCAACAAGACAATGACCCTAAGCACACAGCTAAAATAACGAAGGAGTGGCTTCACAACAACTCTGTGACTGTTCTTGTATTGCCCAGCCAGAGCCCTGACTTAAACCCAATTGAGCATCTCTGGAGAGACCTAAAAATGGCTGTCCACCAACGTTTACCATCCAACCTGACAGAACTGGAGAGGATCTGCAAGGAGTGCAGTTGTAAATTACTCTACAACCATACGCCTTTGTTTACTTTGTGTGTTGCTCGGCAACCACTTTGTTGCAACCACAACTGTTTCTGAGGAACTACATTGTTTGGTGGAAGAATACTGTTTTTATTAATATCATTACACTTTATTTACTCTGTTTTATTTTGTGAAACCTAACTACGTATATTGAATAACCGTTTTATAACAGCAATAAGCCCCGTGAAGCCGTGGTTTACAGTGAATTTATAACAGCTAATGGGGTTTTAACAACGCCCCTTAGCTGTTATAAATTCACTGTAAAGCACGGCTACTTGGGGCTTATTGCTTTAATTTAACATTTACAATGTTAACTTTGTATAGTTGAAAAGTACACTACAGTTAAAATGATAAAGAAGTAGTTTGTATGTGCTTTAGTAGTATATTAGCACATCAAAATGGTTACTCTTGTTTAAAGCATGACATGTTAATTAAAACAAAGGTTTAAAATGTACCTTAAATACTATTCATTTGACAATATTAAGTGTGAAGAAACATAAGTGTACTGTAACTGTAAGTTTCCATTCATGGTCTTATTTCTTTCTCTTTTGTGCAAAAGTACAGTAATAAAAAAAGTACTTTAAAGTTTTAAGTGCATTACAAGTGAACGTTCAATACAATTAAGCACACTTCTTATTGCTTTAATTTAACATTTACAATGTTAACTTTGTATAGTTGAAAAGTACACTACAGTTAAAATGATAAAGAAGTAGTTTGTATGTGCTTTAGTAGTATATTAGCACATCAAAATGGTTACTCTTGTTTAAAGCATGACATGTTAATTAAAACAAAGGTTTAAAATGTACCTTAAATACTATTCATTTGACAATATTAAGTGTGAAGAAACATAAGTGTACTGTAACTGTAAGTTCCCATTCATGGTCTTATTTCTTTCTCTTTTGTGCAAAAGTACAGTAATAAAAAAAGTACTTTTAAAGTTTTAAGTGCATTACAAGTGAACGTTCAATACAATTAAGCACACTCGTTTTTCACAAGGCTGGTGTCATTGCCATCAAATCAGGAAGCTTATAAAAATAAATTTTTATCTGTCTCCCTATCACTTATCAGAAGCCCAGTCGTGATGATTGGAATGGAGGTATGGATGCTATCACTTTTTCTCTGGACCATCAGAAATCTCTTAACCGATCCCTGCTGGAGATCCATAAAGCAGCTGGAGAAAACTCTGACCCTCATGTGAGTAGCGTAAAAGAAACCGAACTGAAATCCCTTGTATCTCCTTTCTCATTTGTTTTGTGTGTTTTCCAATATAATTGCATATTATTTTTAAATAACTGTGAAAATTTTTTTCCCCATCTTACTGTTCCAGCTGTGTGATTTCCTAGAGAGCAACTTCTTTACTGACAGTCATGACACCATTAAGACGCTGGGTGACTACGCTGGCAGCCTGAGTCGCCTCGGCTCTTCTGACCCGCATGGCAAAATGGGAGAGTACCTGTTTGACAAGCACACTCTCTGATCCGCTCAGATCTGAGTTTTGTTGCCAACATTCCGTTAAACAATATGTGCATTGGTGAAGGAGTTTAAGGATTTTTGCACAACCGTTTCATTTAATTGTTTACACCTTTCAAAAGGCATTTTGGTAATAACCACCCAGTGTTTTGATACCACAATTTGAAGTACTTTTAATCTATTTAAAAGTGGGACTGTACTATGAAATGTGCTAGTCCAAACATGGTACCTCGAGTTCAAGCCTTGACTACCGCGTGTCTGTTTACAGAATTGTATAGGTGCTAGTGTAAAGCCATATCTTACCAAAGACCAGCCTATAGGCTCCTGTAGGTTCTTCAGGAGAGGTTTAGTACTGTGTACCAGTGAAAAGGAGTGTTTATATGTACGTATTGTACTCCGGAAACTTTAGTTGCTGTGAATTGTTATACCTCAAATATGGTGCCTTAATGTCAATATAGCAACAACAATAAATCAAGCATTCCAAAAAAAAAAGATTGTTCTCTTTTTTGCAGGTTTTCTTGTACCTTTAATGTAGCCTCTTTACAGTATTTATTTTTATAAAGCTTGCAGCTCACTTGTAAAGTTACCTTTGTATAAATTCCTTTTGAAGTATGAAATCAGTTAAGCTGTTATTGACACTCTTGAAAAAGAGATTTTTAATCTCAATGAGTTTTTTTCCTGGTTAAATAAAGGTAAAAAAAAAAGCTGTTATTAGTTTTATGAAAACATGATTTGCAGTAATTACATTATTAACTTTACACATTTTCTGTACTAATATAGTATTTTTTTATTAGATTATATTACACTGAATTATGCAACTAGATAAACCTGCTATTTAAAGTGCTGACAGTGAGAAAAACTGCTCTTCTTGCTTATTTGACACTGCACACATCCTTACATATGAACACAGCAGTTGTTTTAACTGATGCTAGAGGCAGTTATGAATTGGGCAGCTATAATATGTCAGCCACAGAGATGAGAGCTTTGAAACTGCTGACTCATTATGTGTGTTTGGATATGAAAAAGTATCCAGTGGTGTACTTGTGCTTGAATGTTTTCTGTGTGGTTTATGTTCTCAAAACCACTGAACTGCACTGAATGCCTTGCAAACAACTTATTTCTATGACTAATAGATACAGACTTAACTTAAAAAGTGAAATTGTGAAATACTAGTTTTATATAAAATGTATTTGTATAGTACTGGTTAACCAGGTACAACAACTAAGAGGGATCTAAAATACATTTGTTTTGTCATAGTACAGTAGATATATAATGAGACACAAAGCAAAATGGAAAACAACTTATTTAGGAGCTTTACCTTGTAAAGCCTGACTTTTTTTTTTTTATTGAGGGGGCTAAAAAAAAAAGCACAGTGATGATTGAATTGTACAAATAAACGTTCCTAAAAAAAAGCCTGATTTATCTTGTTTGTTACTCATGATTTTTTAATCAGATTTTTCTAAAAAAAAGTATAATCAAGTAAACCTAAGCTGCTTCAGTCCAGTAAACGCTCATCTTGAAATGTAACTAGCAATATAAAAGTTATTCTTACATTTACATCTTACATTCAGTAAAGATGTGACAGCAAAAAGACACATATCAACATGAAGGGAGAAGGTTTTACAATTATTCTAAAAGGCCTTTTACATGCTTAAAAAGTATAAACTATCAATCAGATGACACAAGGCATGTAGAAGATTATACAACAGGTTTTTCAAAGTTTTGATCATGCTGATCATTTAGAGGCCTAAAAATGTATTATAAAATGTGACTACATGCCGTTTTGTTAAACGCCAAAACCTTTTACTACAATTTACTGCAGATTTCAGTTGAAATGTCCACTAAAATATGTTTTAATAGTTCCAAATAATAGTCCATTCATTTGTCTTTCGTGTTGCATGTACAGCGATCTTATTATGCCCAGGCTGATGTTTTCAAGAGAACAGAAGCACTTTATTTACCAACTCTTAAACAGATGGGGCAATCATAACCTCAAGAGGATGCAGAAGAGGCTGGTGGAAGATAATGAATGCAGCATGGCCTTGACCAGTGTCATTGGTATGAGGGTCCTCTTTAGAGGAAGTTTCTTGATGTCACCAAAGGGATACGGGAAATTACATCATATTGGTTGGTTATTGAGCACATGCTGGACTCGATCCAATCATAATGTTCAGAGCAAGTCTAAAAGCTTGAAACATGCATGTGCTATAAACAAAAACAGCCAGAGTTGTTTATTATTCAAGATGATTCACAAGTGACAATAACTTTAGACATTCCATTAACTACAAGTAACTTTGTAACTACATGTCAACTAATTCTCATTCATTTGCAACTACATGTCTACTAACTCTCAGAGTAGACTCTTAGGATAGGTTTAGGGTTAGTAGAATGTTGACAAAGAAAGTGTTAGAAGATATTAAGCAGACCGTCTACTAATACTCTACTAACTGCTAGTTGACATGTAGTTGCAAAGTTACTTACTGTTAACAGAATGTCTAAAGTGGACTATCGAAATAAAGTGTTACCTGAAATTTTAATGTTGTAGAGTTAAAAAAAAAAAAGTAACGTTCCTTAAAAGACTGGCCTGATTTGAACGTAACTTCAGGCTGTAGATTTTCAGTAAAAATCACTGTCTTCGTCAACTTCAAAATCAAGCACATGCAACTCGGTTTTTTGTATCCCACTTTCTTCCTCCTCATTCTCTGTGCTGTTTCTGGGTTCTCCTTTCTCCCTTTTCACAATCTGATGATATTCCTGATAGATTCCATTCAGAGCCTGTGCAGCCTCTACAGATACTTTCAGTTTTCCCACCACATCCTGGTCTTCATCCGCACTAACAACTGAAAGACAGAAACACCACAGTCATGCATTTATTTCAAGTTTAAATGTAATCTCTTTTCATAATGACTGAATCTTACCATCGATTTGTTCTTCAATAAAATCATTTCCAGTCAGCAGAAGTTCTCGTAAATCCAAGTAGGCATAGCCGACATCTTCACATTCTTCTTGCTCGTTCATGGGCTCACTGACTACTGTGAACTTTAACCTAGATGATTAGAGGGGGAAAAAAACATAGAGGTTAGAAGATCTTTATACATTTTTAATTTTATTGCCATGTGAAACGGTCATTATTTTTATATCTATCATTATCTCTCATTTTCTCTCTGTTTACCTGCCCTGGTTGGGGTCTGAACCCTCCAGCATGGTGTAGAGGTAATGTCTCAGGGGAGCTGCTTCCATGCTATCCACATGGATAACTATTGATGATAATAACATGTTAAAGAACATGAAGTTAGTTTTTTATCACCTTTTTTTACATTAATACCAAGTTAATATGTTAAATTGTTAAATGCCATGATGCCTTTGTGAAAAAGAAGTGTGCTTAATTTCAAAATATGCAAACTTCAAATCTTACAAGAAAATTGTAATAAAGCTGTACTTGCAGGTAATATATTAACAAGATAAAAGGCCACTTTTATTAAAGTAATAAAGTAAGTACACTTTCATGACTGTGTTTCTTAACACACTTAAGTACATTTAAAAAAAAAGAAGTGCACTTATTTTGAACATTTAACATACCAAAGATACATGTAAAGTACTTTATTGTGATTTATGATAACTGTAGTGTGTTGTCCAATACTGCATTTAAAGTTAATATATTTTAAATGAACTAAAGTGGAAAACATAATTGATTTTCAATATACAGCTAATGCAAGTTAAATGTACGTTTGGGCCAATGTGGGTGGGTCTCCACAGAGTGATGTTAAAGCACATGTAAGACACACAAGGATAATTTCACTTTTGTGACCTTACCTCGTGTAAAGTTATAATGTATGTCCTCCCCGTCTGTTGGTTTACGCAGGGACATGGGCGTTTCTGTTGTCTCCATGGGAATACCTAGAAGGCGGTACTCTACATAAACCTGATGCACTGATTGGTCAAGTGCAACACTGGAAGAGCGGTTAAAAGAAAGTGACAGGATTTCCACTCTGAGTCTGTCTCCCTGTGAGACATAAAGACAAATGTATGATTTTATAATATAGAGCTGACTCTTGACATCTAAGACTAGAAACATATTCTATGCAAGTACATGAATGCGAGCTGGATTTCACAGAATCTTCCAAAATGTTTTAAATAGCAATTAATAATGCAATGCAAGTATGTGTTGCATTCTTTGAGTTGCCACAAGGGGCACTTTAGACGATTTACATTATTATAATAACGATAAAAGTGATCCTCAAAATTTTAATCTAACTATATTGTATTATAGTGTTCAGTCATTTAAATGACAATGTTGAGAAATATATGGTATGGCTTTCATTTCAGTTAGTATAATGTTTTTATTTCAAGCAGATTACTGTAACATGATGTTGTTCCTTATTGTAGTTGAAAATGACTTGAGGTAAAGATTTTTTTAGAAAATTACTAAAAGGGTTTTAGTCATATCACCTGACTCTTAGTAGATTAAACAGACGGCTGCTAGAAAAATAACACATAATGCTTTAATCCCCTATTGAGAAAGCCAGAGGCGATTTTTTTTTTGAATGTTTGACATTCTATTTTATGTAACATGTCTGTTGTCTGTTAGTCAACTGTATGATCATCACCTGTTTATGTGGTTTTGGTGGGTGAGGAATTATGATGACATCACTTCCATTTGAATCTCTTGATTCATCAGACTGAAGGGCATCTGTGTCATTTTGAGCTATGTTGGATATGAGAGGTAAAAAGAAGCTTTAACTCACTGTTTTGTAATTTGTGTAATGAATAAGTGACTTCTGAGGAAAAAAACTCACTTCTGTCTTCAGTTTCATCTTCCTGATCTTCATATTCCTGTTCCTCCTCCATTTTAATTTGCTTTGGGGAAAAAAAAAAACATTTTGAAGACTCTTTTAAACTGACTGATTTAAATACTCAGCTGACACTAAGTATTCTTGTTGCATTTCCTTCTCAATTCCTTACCTGTGTCGAGTCGGTTCGATAGCTCCTTTGGCTGCGAGGGGTGCTCGGCAATGAGGCCGATGGTCTGAAGTCCATAACTCGATTGGATTTATGCGACTTAATAGACATGGCAGGACTCAGGTAAGGTGCCGTTGTGGGTTTCAATTTGTCCTGAACGTGCAACGCTGCAGTGCGGTGTTGCTTCCGTCTAACCGACCTTGAAGGTTGAGCCAAACTAGACTGAGGTTTCTGATGATAAGATGTGGGTTCAGTGACCTGAATGGATGGCGATGGAAGTGTGATTGAACCTCTTTGAGGGCTTCTAATGGGTGTGGATGGGTGAGTGTCAGTGGTCTTGGGTCCATGTTCTGGTGGAGGCCGAAGCTGAGACTGAAATTAAGTTGAAAGACTGCGATTATATTTTTCTGGATTATTAGACGTGTAGTTTCAATTTTGTAACTATGCTCCATCTCTCACTTCTAAAAGTTTCTTAATACTGTAAAACTGAAAATACTGAAAAAGGATGCCCAATTCTTCCACAATTAAATATAGTGAGCTAAAATGGTAGATGC